TCTTGTATTTTGGATTTCATCCTATACGCAAAGGAAAGACAGACTTGGAGACTTAGGGATGGGGTGAGGACTGGAAGTAAGGAAGTGGGTAAGGTGGCTATTGCAGAAGTCTGGGATGGAAATGTTAAGGACCTGAGCAGTCCTTGGAGCAGTGGGGATGGGGTGGGAAAAGCAGGTTTCAGAAAGGACAGAGTTCTTGATTTGCTTGATGTGCAAGTGAGGGAGGGGGAAATGCCAAGGATGTTTCTGCATTTAAGCTTGGGCACACAGGTAGGTAGAAATGCTGTTTGTTATCTAGGATCAAAAACATAGGAGCAAGCTGAAGAATGTCGGCATGATCATCGGCCTTAGGATCAGAAGACCTTAGTTTGATTACTGACTCTCTTGTTTACTAGCTGTACACTTTACCTCCCTGAGCTTGTTTTTCTCATCTGTCAAATGGGGATACCTGCTGTAGCAGGGTTGTCATGAGGAATAGGTGATTCTAATTATTATCTGTTGCTTGTTTGCAGTACTTTGAGCCAGGCGTGGAGCTAAGTGCTTTACATACGTTATAACGTTTAATTCTTTTGATAACTTGAGAGGTGCAGATATTGGAGCCTCATTTTATGGTGGAAAAAAGACTGATCTTGGAGTGGTTGAGTAACTTGTTCCAAATCACACAGATAGTGGTGAGAGTAGCATGTTTATAAGCAGGCAAAAGCTCCACTGAGAAGGAGGACTTTAAATAGCGTAGAGAAGGATGCTAGTTCATAGAGCAAGGGTGCTGAAGGGAATAGGCTGGAGAGCTGGGGACAGGATCAGCTCTGGAACAGTCATTGCTGTTTTCCAGAAATTAAGCAGCTAACTTTTGTATTGGAAGACTCTTTAAGTATATTACCTTTTCCCCCCGAGTCCCAGCTTGTTTTCTGTGCATTACTTTTTCATATTCTGTACTGCGTTGCCAGATCACATATGTGAACCACTGATTTCTTCCTCTTCCTCTCAACAGTATTTTAATAAGCGAAAAACCTATTTTGCTCACGATGCTCTTCAGCAGTGCACAGTTGGGGATATCGTGCTTCTCAAAGCTTTACCTGTCCCACGAACGAAGCATGTGAAACATGAACTGGCTGAGATCATTTTCAAAGTTGGACAAGTCATAGATCCAGTGACTGGAAAACCCTGTGCAGGAACCGCCTACCTGGAGAGTCCAGTCAGTTTGGAAACCACCCACCTCACCAAAAATCTGGAATAACTCGTTATCTCTTCAACACAGTGAAGGAGGGTCGGAAGAAGGAGCCAAAGGGAAAGATTTATAGCTTTGCTTTGTGGAAAAAGAAATTTTTCTAAGTTTTATCACGGACTGTCTAGTTTCTCTTCTGGTATTTATGAAATAGCTAAAAGTAAATGAATAAAGGGGCTGTTATAATTTTTCATGAAGGTTTATGGTCATGTTTCAAATTTCGTTTTCAGTGAACATACTTTCCTGTTACACCAAGTGTGCCTAGCAGTCCACTGCATTATTTTGTAAGCTGACTGTTTTAGAAGGTGTATTTTTTTTTCATTCAAAGGAATCTTGAGTTTATCTTAGAACCTCTATTTTGGGAGAAAATCTTTGATATCATAAACAGATAAGAACACATTAAGTGAATATTTATTTTTGCTGGTATATATTCAAAATTAATTTAAATTTTCTTCTTTCATCTAGCCAGTTCCAAATGGAAATAATCAACATGCTTAGGGTCAGACTTTATCAGATTATAGTCTGTATTAATAAGCATGTTGACACATAGAAAATAACACTTAAAAATTCTGTGTCACTTTTATCCTTTATCCTAGGCTAGATTAAATAGGAATGAGTTCTTAAAATATGATACATTGCTGAAATTGTAGAACTTCTCACACATGCATTTGAGTTGGGGAGTTTCAGACTTTTGTTGCTGTTCATTAATAAACTGTGATAACTTAGATTTTGACCTGATAAAATATTGAGCACTATATTTCAGTCTTCTGCTCCTAGAAAGAGACTTGGAACATATTCCAAACTCAGCTAATATGTGTATTGTACAAACACAGGGTTTCAACAAGGACTACAGACACTGCCCAACCTCTCAGGGATTACATCCATTGGGGAGGTATGTACAGGTGGCTTCATGGCAAACAGAAGCACATGGATGGGAGAGAAATTAGGGTAACTTCCCAGAAGAGATGAGCTGATGCTAGAACTGAATATTAAAGGAAGAGTCTCCAGGCTGCTAGATGAGGGGTGTAGAAAGGGCATTTTAAGCAGAAGGTAAAGTCCTCAAAGTATGAGAGAAAGGAGCATAACGAAGGGACATTTTCAACAAGGGTGGAGGGGCCGGCCTGGTGCCTCAGTGGTTGGGTTTGTGCGTTCCGCTTCCCCGGGGACCTGGGGTTCGCCAGTTCAGATCCCAGGTGCGGACATGGCACCGCTTCGCAAAAGCCATGCTGTGGTAGGCGTCCCATGTATAACGTAGAGGAAGATGGGCACGGATGTTAGTTCAGGGCCAGTCTTCCTCAGCAAAAAGAGAAGGATTGGCAGTAGTTAGCTCAGAGCTAATCTTCTCAAAAAAAATAAAAAATAAACAAGGGTGGAACTCAGAGAAATAGGAATTATTGTGTAAGTGGTGGTGGAATATGTAATGTTTTTAAAGGGAGTGATATAATTAGCTTCACATTTCAATAAAAGTTAACAGCCTCAGTGTAGAGAGTGGACTAGAAGATGAAAGATTTCACGTAGGGAGACAGTGACCTGTTCAAAAATTGGTCCTAAGACCTAAACTGAGTTGGGAAGGGAAGATGAAGAGTTTGGATAGATGATGTTCTAAAGTAGAAGCCTCAGGAGTTGGTACCGGGGAAGGTCAGCAGAAAGGAAGCATCTGAGAGTGTCTCGGTCCCTGGCAGGTGGGGCTATGTGCACGAGTTATCCTGGAAGGGACAGGACACCTGTCTCAGCCATCTCTAAAAGCTGAAGTATTTTCAATGTTTACATATACTCTAGTGTATCATTTTATCTTAAGATATTTTTCCTGAAAATCTTGGTGTAAAAATTATACCCCAGAAAGATGCCCTATATTTATTCCATGGCATTGAGTAACCGAAGCCACACATCTGTGAAATAAGACTACCTGTCCCCAGTAAAAAGCATTTGGTTAATGGAACTCCAGCAAATGATAGTGGAGGAAAAAATGCAGAATGAGTGGCCTAACACTAAGTAACACTAAAGCAAGGTCAGCAAAGAAATGTCTACCAAGTTAACGTTTCAGCAAAAATAGATTTGAAAGAGTTTGTCTCCTGAAATAGAGCAGAGAATTATGAGGAATGTGTGAGAAAGTCACAAAGGCACATTGACACCACTGGTTTGAAGAGGCCCTGCTTCCCACTGCAGGATTCCAACATATCCTTGCCACCCTGGGGAGAGCTCACTTCAGTCTTCCTTTTCGGTCTGTTCTACAGCCTCACTAAGCATAAGCCAGTTGAGAGCAGGAACTCCTTCAGCCACGCAGCCTCTGGCCTCCTGTCCCTCTGTCCCTTGGCCTTTCCATTGGCCTACAAGATAGAAATGCAGGGGCCAGCCCTGTGGCCAAGTGGTTAAGTTCGTGCTCTCTGCTTCGGCGGCCCAGGGTTTCCCCAGTTCGAATCTTGGACACAGACATGGCACTGCTGATCAGGCCACATTGAGGTGGCATCCCACATGCCACAACTAGAGGGACCCACAACTAAAATATACAACTATGTACTGGGGAGATTTGGGGAGGAAAAGCAGGGAAAAAAAAAAGATTGGCAACAGTTGTTAGCTCCGGTGCCAATCTTAAAAAACATAAAGAAGAAAAATGCATCTCTCTGGTCTGGGGCAAATCCTTGTTGCCACTTCAGCATCCAAAACCCCGTTTCTGTCCTCGGTGGTTCCTCGCCATATTAACGGGTTCAAATAATGCTCCAATCAAAAAACTGCCTCGAGCCTCCCCGCTTCCTTCACCTACAAGATGACCAGCTTCGGAGAACCCCTCAGCGCACAAGCCCAGTTCCTGCCCCTACCCCTCCTACGCAGACACCTGCCTGGGTAGCAGAGACCTCCCAGTCCTGAGGGCATCTTCCTCTTAGCCTTTGCAGACCCGCACTGGCCTTGAAATGTTCCCCTTAGTGGCTGGGGCCTCTGCTGCTCCGTGTCCAGCCCCCTTTCTGCCACCTTGTCTTGGTTGCAGTTTTCACGGTTACAGTTGTGGCTCTTTTATCTTACCGCAGGATACTTTTTCCCCAAACCGTGCCATCCTGACTCACGGCTTTCAGTTGTTTCCTCAGTCAGCGGGAGCAGTCGTCACTCCTCACACTGGCCAATTCGTCTTCCCTTGGGACTGCGCTGTCCTGCCAGCTCCTTGGAGGTCTATCCTCCATTTCACAGCCACTGCGGGGTACATGCTCTCTCATCCGTGCTCCCTTCCCGTCTTGTGAACCCCTTCATTTGGACACTTGACACACCCGATCCAATCATCATTTCACATCCTGCCCCGCTAGACCGGGACGATTTAGGGGCAGGGATCGGGCAGCGCCAACCCTGCCGAAATGAACTGGAACAAAGGAGCCCCAAAACTACGAGAGAACTTGAGTATGTTTCCACCCAGAATGCTTTTATTAAAGCGTTATTTATTTGTTTTTGAAAAGGCAATATATTTACAAGGTATTGAGGGAGAAGCCCGCCTCCCAGCTTTGCCCTCAGGCCCTGGATGCCCCTAGCAAGTGTCCCTCCAGCCTGTGGAGCTTTCCGCGAACATTCAGGCCACGCCCATGTTCCTTTCGCGCGCCCTGTTGTGGCCGCAGCGCGCGTTTCGCTGTGGATTACTGTCTCCCAGTTGGCTCCTCTCCGGCTTCCCGCTCCTTTTTTGGGGCTACCGGGCTGCCCGCCGCCGCGCGCCCTGCTCCCCCTGGCGGCGGCGCCCCCTCGCTGCAGCGGCCGCACGCCCCGCCCCGCCCCAGCCTCGGCGGGCCTGGCGGGGGGAGGGGTCGCGGCGGCGGCGGCGGCGGCCCGGGCGGTGGGAGCCGAGGCGCCGGAGCAAGATGGCGGCGCGAGTGCTGTACGCCCACGGAGCGGCCGCGGCCGGCGGCCTCCTGCGGCGGGCCGCCCCCTGCAACCTCCTGCCCGGGCTCCGGTGAGCAGCGCCGCCTTTTCCGGGAGCGGCCGGGGAGGGGCTGCGCGGGGCAGAAGGCGCGGGGTCCCCGGCGCGGGTCTCCGCCTCAGCTCGGCCGCGCTCCCCCGGGCGGGGCTGCGGGGCGGCGGGGGCAGAGGTCGCGGTCCGCGGGGTTGGCCCGGCCAGGGCCTCGACGGGGTCGGAGCGCCCTCCTGGCCGGCCGGACTCAAGGTCACGGCCGGGACCGCGCTCGGCGCCGAGGCCCCGTCCGCCCGCCGCGCGGGCCCGGCCTGCGGGACCTTGACCTGTCGCCACCCGGAGCAGAGGCCGAGGGCGGGCCCGCAGGCCCTGGCCCGCTTCCCGCCGGGCGTCCTGAGCAAGCTGCCCGCCCCCGCAAGCCTCGGGGTCTGCACCTGTAAATGGCAGTAGTGATACCGCTTATCTCCTAGGTGGTTGTGAGGAAGAAATAACGCACCGTCCCCGGTGGGCCGTCATTGAAGGGAGGGAGGGAGTAGTGAGGCGGTCTCAGCACGACGGAGTCTTTGACTTACATCTTAAAATAGGTAGCCGATCAAACAGTGTTCACAGTTACCAGCACTGAGTAGGCGTTGGGTTCATGTTTAAACTTTTTTCCTAACCTCCTTGGATTACATGTTTGGTTTTCTGAATCCATCACTTTGACATATCCACGTCCAGTTTTCCACATTCAAAAGCCAAAGCCCGTGCTAACTTACCTGTAGATTTGCTTTATCGTTTTCTTTACATCGGGTAATTTAAATGTTAACCGTTTTGTTTGTTTTTAATTAAATAGTGAGCCTCTAGAAAATACAGTTGGCGCTTAAAAATGAAAGAGCAAAGGAACTGCCTGTTTGTTAAACTCTTACTATGGGCCAGGGAGCTTTATATCATATGGCTTATTTAATTTAATCCTAGTAGCAATCTTTAGAAGGAATAGGATCTGCGTTTTAGAGATGAGTTGGAACCTCACACTGTCGGACAAGGCGTTTGAACCCAAGTTTGTCGGGCTTCAGGCCCAGCGCCCTTCCTAGGACTGATGCTCAGCTTGTATTTCCAAATTTGATGTTTATGTTTCCATGTTGATTAAAAGTTTTATTTTTATTCCGTTATTGAGCAAATACTGAGTGTCGTATTTTCTCACACAAGTGATATGAGCACATGAAATTCATAGTTTCTTCTTCCCAAAAAAGACAGCTGAGACTGAAGGTGTTCATCCAACATGTTCACCTAAAGTGCCCAAGATCACAAGGCTAGTACCTGGAGTTGCCACTCATTCTATCAAATATTGAATGTATACATTGTCTTTGAAGCCCTGTGGAACTGAGCGTAATAGCCGTGGTCACTATCCCAAGGAAGCCATGGCAGGAGTAAAGACCCCTATAGACTTAACGACTGAGATAGGTGCTGTGAGAGAACATCAGGAAACCTACCACACGAGATCATGGAAGGCCACTCCAAGAAGGTGACGTTAAGCTGAGACCTGAAGAGCCAGTGTGCATGAAAGCCCTGACTGGGAAGGAGCCATGAGTACTGGGAAACCCCAGAACAGTCTAGAAGGCTGTAGCACAGGAATAAAGGGAAGACTGACCGGAGAAGAGGTGGCAAAGAGTGGGGCCAGATAATTCTAGGCCTTACAGGCCATTTTAGAGAGCTTGGATTTTATTCTGAGAGCCATGGAAGACATTTAAAGGTATAAACTCTAGTGTAACGTGAACTGATCTACATTTTTAAAAGACCGGTCTGACTTTGGAAAGGGGACAAAATCAGGGGTAATGGCCAACTGGGCAGATGCTGGTGCCATTTACTGAGTCATTTTTTCCGTAGGTATGTGAGTGCCTGCCACGTGCCAGTTGCTGTTGAGAAACAGTGAATAAGGCACTCAAGATCCTTGCCATCTGGGAGCTTGCTAGGAATTCAGAGAAGGAGGAACAAGTGCTGGGTGGAAGGGGTGATCCAGAGCAGTTTTGAATCTGGTAAAGTTTGAGATGGCTGTGAGGTATTCAGATGGAAAGGCCATGTGGGCGGTTGACCTATATGACTCCTCAAACAAGGTGTCTGGGCTACTGGTAACGTTTGGGAGTTGTCAGCATATAGGAATGCTAAATGTTGATAGACACATGGGTTTCATTGTATGTTTCATGCTTGATTGAAATTTTTCATAATAAAACGTTTTTTAAAGCCATCGGAATGGATGAGATTGCTTGAGGAGAGCGTGTGGATAGAGAAGGGGCTGAGAAACGGGACCTGGGATATGTGAACATTTACAGGTTGGATACAGGAAGGAGAGGGGGCAAGGGAGCCTGGGAAAGAGCAGCCAGTGAGGTGATTGTTATGTGACAGTGCCTAGAGGGAAATATTTCAAGGAGAGAGTGGTCACCTATGCCAGATGCTGCTAAAAGGTTAAGTAAGATGACAGAAGAAAACTGAATTTGCCAACAGGGATGTTGTGGGTGACCTTGCAAGAACGTTTTTAGAGGGGATAAAGAAGTCTTCCTGGGAGACTTACTTCCCAGCATAGAGTTCCAGCTGCTTACTGGACATTGCACTAGTGTCCCACAGGTGCTTGAGATGCTTTTGTACCCAGAATTTAACTCATCTTCCTCCTACAAAGCCTGCTTGCTCTTTCTGGGTTCTCTCCCCCCAGTAATGGAATGTCTTGTGTTTAGTGGCCCAGGCTAGAAACGACAAGGTCTTCCCCAAGCCATCACCTTCTGGTCCCTCCCATCTAGTCAGTTGCCAAATCTGTCAGTTCTGCTTCTGGCCTGTCTTGGCTCCATCTTCTCTGTCACCACTCCCCTAGCTCAACTCTTGGCAACACTCGTCTGGATCCCTAGGAAGAGTAGTATGGACTTGAACCCATTGGTGAAGTGGACAACTAAAGAATTCTGAGCAGAACTTTTTCCTATTAGAAAGATCTCTATGACATGAAACTTGACTGGATCCTAATCCCTCTTCCCTTCCACCCTGCCCCACCCCGCCAAGAAAACTATAAAAGACATTTGGGGAACAATTAAGGACATTTTAATATGGAGTGGAGATTAGATATTACAGAACAATTATTTTCCTTAGATGTGAAAATAGTATCATGGTTTTGTCTGTTCTTAGGAGATGCATGCTGAAGTATTTAGGGATGAAGTGTCATACTGTCTGTACTCTGCTTTCAAGTAGTTTGGTAAAAATAGAAAAGCAAATATATAGAGAAGGATTTAAAATGATAAAATGTTCATCATTTTTTCCTCTGGATGCAGGGCATAGGGGTCTTCGTTGTACTATTCTTTCATCTTCTCTGTGAGGTTTTTCAAAAGGAAAAGTTGGAGAGCAGCTTTCTATAGCAGCAGTGTGGAAGACACACTGACTGGGGTTGAGTGTGGGGAGGGGGTCGGGGAGCTGTTGCTTTGATGCAGGACTCTTTGGATTGGGCCCTTCACCCCCCTCTCTCCCCCCCATAGTATTCACACACTCCTGGCTTTGGCAGGTATAGTTTCTTTAGAATGTCCTTCCCGTGGGCGTCTTCCTGACAAACTGCTCCTCGTCTTTCAAGTCTTCAGCTCAACAGCTTCTTCAGAGAGTTGGTCCATGTCCATGTCTCCCTCAGGCCCACTTAGACTCTGCTTCCTCTGCCCCCCGCCCCCCCCAACCTCCTGCGTCACCACCGTATGTCTCCATCCAAGAGCTCATCTCACATTGGGCTGTAATCTTGTTTGTCTATCTGCTGCTACCAGTAAACTGAGCTCTGTGAAGTCAGGGCCAGGCTTATTCATCTTTGAACTCTCAGCCTGGCCCACTGCTTGGCACATGCAGTGCGCGTCAATAGATATTTGATGATCATGTAAAACAAAGCTCATTACACTACTGCTGCCTCATCCTGTGGTCTCAGTGTTAAAGGTATTTCCCTTCTGTGATTTGCTCCAACCACACCACCAGCTTCCACTTCCAGCTTTCTAGTAGGACCCTTGTCTTCTCCTTTTTGCCTCAGGAATCTCTTTGGAATGTATTCCTTCCCCTTCGTCCCCATTGCCATTGTCTTAACCCAGGAGCATCCTTTGGTCCATCCGGGGAGTATTAAATGCTCCCTGCCTTTATTGCTGCAGTCCATCCACCGCATCATTGCCAGGCTGCTTTTTACACGTAGATCTTTTTTGAAAACTTGCTAGCATTGCACTGCGTACAGGATAAAGTCTAGCTGACAGGTGTGGTACACAAGAGCCTGACCACCCTGCCCCTTTTGCCCTCCCATTCTCTCTGTTGCCATCCTCCCACACCCTGTTCTCCTGCCTCACTGAACTCTTTGCTGCTCCAGAAATATGTGATAACGGTTTCGTGACTCCGTTGCCTGGATGTGTTGTTCCCTTTGACTAGAATTATCGCCTGCCTTGTTCACTTGTCTTTCTTGTCCTCCAAGACAGGACTGGAGCGTCTCCACAGGAGTCCCTCTCACTCCTCGCAGGCCAAGCCAATGGTTCAATCCCTTGAGCTCTCACAGTGTGGTGTGTGTAAGTCTACACTATCTGTGACCACTCTGGCTGCTTACTGATAGGTTTTTCCCATGAGACTCAACAGGCTAGGCATCTGCTTCATCTTTGTATCCATAGAGCCTGGCACATAATGCTTATTCTACGTAAAGTCTAGTGTTTTGTAGAATGCGCTCTCCCTCCCCAACCCTCTGTAAAGTGCCACACAAGAACATATCTGATATTATAACTGATAGTGGTGCTATCAGTCAGATGACTTATAGTGGTGTTTATCACAGTGAAGAACCCCAGCCTGGATCTTATCAGCCTGACGCTGTTGCACAGCTGCTCTACCCTCTTCCGAGATTCAGCTTGGACAGCTAGGTGGACTGGGCATGTTAGGCAGCTTTCGTCGCCTGACGCTTGGAAAGATTTCAGAGTTTGACAGTCAGTTGTGGGTAATCTCGGACTGTTTTTCATTTGTCAAGACAATTGCTACCCAAGTTCACAAGCAAACACCACTCAGGTTCTGGTATGTGTTCCATGATGCTGACTATTTCTTAGGCTCATCTTTGGTTTACAAAGCATTTCCATGTCCTTTACCTCATTTTACTCATCCTAAAGTAAATCTCTTTGGTATTATTAAAATATGGAATGAATACTCAATTGGAGAGATTTGTGTTTGGGAGGTATCCTTATTAGTGAAAATATTTTGAACTGTATAGTTAGATCTGGGTTCATATTTTTATTTTGCCACTTCTTAGCTCAGGGCATTTAACATCTCTGAACCAATCTCTAAAATGCGATAATCCCTTCCTTGCTACGTTGTTCTGAGGATTAAGTGAGATGACATAGACAAACTGCCTAGTTGAGTGTCTAGAAGTAAGTATGTACCTATTAACCTGTAATCCCCTTAAATTCTAAAGAGAAGGAGAAAAATTACTTTGGGATTTTCCCCCCTCCAGACTTAGTCTACCAATAATTCTTTATTATGCTCTCTTATTTTGTAAAGTATTAAATGCCATAGAAATTAAATATCTATATCTATCTGTCTATATATATATATATATATATATATATATATACACATACACATGCTATATGCTTGTCTATGCATTTCTGGAAGGATACATTAAAAACTGTTAGTGGTGCTTGCTTTGGTGAGTATTTCTTACTTTAAATGAAATTCTCTAGTGCTGATATTTTTAGAAATTTTCATTGTACCTCTTTCTCAATTGTTGATAATTGTTATTCCAAGCTTAAGAATTTATTTATTTAACAATCCCCCAAAATCTTTTACACAATTTCTGCGTAGTGAACTTAAAATCTAAAATAAATAAAAAACAGGAATTATACAAAGTCTCATTAACAAATCTTAAAACTTTCTATTTTGTATGTCACTAATTTTATATGCTTTCCATTTTGCTTCTTGAAATTATTAAGCAAATATCACAAAATGTATGTGTAGAACACCTTAAACAAATTGACACAGTGTTTTTATTTTTAATGAATTAAATTTTACCGTGATTCATTTGGAAAATTGCCTTCTTCAGAATTAGTTTATTTATATAATCAAAAAGTGAATTGAAAACAGAAACAAGTAGCATGTGATTTTGGTTTTTGCTAAAGGACTAATAGTTTTTGTATATAATTTCTTTTGGTTTTAAAAGTTAGTTTTATTGAAAAAGTAGTTTTAAAAACTGAATTGTTTAACCTCTCACTACCATCCTAAGTGCTTTCAATTTGTTTACTAGGAGTGTGGGGTTCAACACGTACTTAAAAATATACAAAAGTCAAAAACAGTGCAGGTATATGGGGAAAGCTGTCTCTTCTACTTAGCTCTCTATCCTTCCCTCAGGGATACCACCATTAACACTTTCTTAAATCTAAGGAATTTTAGCTTGTAATAAAAGCAAAGTGGAGGAATTTCCAACATCTTTTTATAAATGCCATTTTTCGGGTTTTATATTTTTGTCCTATGCACTTACAAGAAAAATTGCTTATACTGGTATTGTTATTTTGCTTGTTTAGTATAAGATTGCTGCTTTTTAATCTTTGAAGAATTTGAAAAAATATTTTTATATTTCTTGATCATTATTTATAGAAAATATTTAATTATTAATTTTATATTTGTGTATTTTATGTTTGTATATCTGTAAGCTTAAATTATTCGTAAGTCTTTTTATCTGGTTTCTAGCTATTTGTGATAATATCCTATGAATTGTTTTTAAATTAAAAGAACATCTTAAGGGGAGAAAATTGCTCTGTAATATTTGTTCATTATAGCAGCAAATCGACTCTTTAAGCAACAAAAGGAAAAGGCTACCAATATAACACATGAAACTTAGAGTTCTGTTATTTCTAAAGCCCCATAGTTGAATGAGAATAGGAAATTGTATTATTGTAATGTAGAATCTACATGTGCATCTCATGAGGCAATGGAAGTTTGCTTCTCATGAGTTTTCTTGCCTCTTGTTTAAATTCCAGGTCCCCTTCCTTATACCTGGGGTCTCATTCTTTTCCTCTTACATTTGCTTTGTGGTATCTGTGTCCTTAAGCAGGCCTGCTAGGCACATTGGAAATGCAGTCGTATCCCAGGTTCCACGAGTCCGTGAGTTCAAATGCCTACAGTGGTTGCATCTGTGCCAAACATGTACAGACTTTTTTCCCTTGCCATTATTCCCTAAACAGTACAGTTTTTACATTGCATTTACAACTATTTACTTAGCATTAACATCATATTAGGTGTTATAAGTAATACAGAGATAATTTAAAGTATAGGGGAGAATGTGCATAGGTTATATGCAAATACTACACCACATTATATGAAGGACTTGGGTTTCTGCTGGGAATTCTGGAACCATCCCCAAGGGATGACTGTGTGGAAAATCATCTAATGTTTCCATAGCGATCCCCCAGAAAAGGCTCACACTGGCCTGTCAGCCTCTCGACTTGTGTTGAAGCACTGAATAAGATCCTAAGCATTTATATTGGCCATTTGGAATCCCAGCACGTTACTGCTCCTGGCATGATCTAGCAAAGGGCAGGAAAGATCATTTATGTGTACATGAGTTAAGATCAAAACTATAAAGAATATCCTGTAATAACCCTGGCCAGAGATGATGGTCATCAGTTATAAAAGGAATTGTGCAAAAAGAATGGACACAGACTCAAAAAGCTACATTATGTATGATTCCACATGTAAGACATTCTGGAAAAGGCTAAACTGTAGGCACATAAATGTATCAGTGGTTGCCAGCAATTGAGAGTGGGGAGAAGGGTTGATTACAAAAGAAGGAATTTTAGAGAGTAAAGGAACTGTTCCATATCTTACGCATTTGTCAAAACTTGCAGAACTGCATGCCAAAAAAGAATAAATTTTACTGTACGTATATTTGATTAAAATGAAGAAGATAAAGAGACACAGTTTGCCGTTTGATTGTGGTCATGTGAGATTAGGAAGAGGATGAGTCTCAACCAGGTTCTTATTTTTAAAATCCTGTTTTCAGGTTATATGTACTTATATACCTTACCTGTAAAGGGGTTTCTAAACATGCACCTTGAGATATTTTAGCTAATTTTTAAATATAAAAATAATGTATGTATATGGAAAAATTTCAAATAGTCCAGAAAGTTAAACAATGAAAAGGAGAAATCGCTACTCTCACCCCATGCCCAGTCACGCTCCCCAGATGTCATCACTATTAACAGTTCACTTTATTTGCATGTATGGTACTGTTCTGTGCCCGCTTTTTCCACACAATTTGTCTCTGAGATAGCAACATTTCAGTGCATGTAACTCTACCTCTTTTTAATGATTGTAGTTTATTACGATTTTTGAATATTCCCTAATTTGTTTGACCAGTCCCCATTAATGGGTACCCACATTGCCTATACCAGGAAAAAACTGGAAACAAGGCGGTAGTGAACAATCTTGTGCATTCACCTTTCTGCACTTGTCTAAATATAGCTGCCTGTAGGACATAACACAAGTGCAGTTATGTCCTGCACTTAACAGGGCCAAAAGGCCTACGCACTTTTAATTTTGATATAGATAATGCCACACTGCCCTCTAGGGAAGGTATGCAAATTTGTAATCCCACTAGCAAGTATATGGGAATTACACGTGCACTTTACAGTTCATGTTTAAAGTATATTTTGTTACTTCAGTCAAATTTATCCTCACTTTCTGACAGCATATATGGTAGAAGTTCAGTTACAAGATGAGAATTAACAAGTTACATTTTTGTTAATGAAGTTGTATTCTTAGGTTTTTGTGACTGTTAAAAATCTTGATCCTGAGGCTGCCCCGTGGCCAAGTGGTTAAGTTCGCACATTCTGCTTCGTCGGCCCAGGGTTTTACCAGTTCGAATCCTGGGTACGGACATGGCACCACTCATCAAGCCATGCTGAGGCAGCGTCCCACATGCCACAACTAGAAGGACCCACAACTAAAGATACACAACTATGTACTGGGGGGCTTTGGGGAGAAAAAGGAAAAATAAAATCTTTAAAAAAAAAATCTTGATTCTAAGGTTAGTTTAGAGGTAAAATAATTTTTTTTAAGGAAAGAGTTTACTTCATTTTCCCTGTATATTTCTTTTCACATTTTTTTATTGTGGTAAAATATGTATAACGTAAAATTTACCATTTTAACCATTTTTAAATGTACAGCCCAGTAGCATTAAGTACGTTGTTGTACAAACATCACCACCATCCATCTCCAGAGCTTTTCCATCTTGCCAAGCTGAAACTCTGAACACATTAAACAATAACTCCTCATTTCCCCACATCAGCTCCTGGCAATGACCAAACTACTTTTTTTCCTTGTGAATTTGATTACTCTGTTTCCATGTATATTTTTTCTATGTCAGAAATTGCTTTGGAGGAGGGAAAAGCACATAGCGGAAATTGCAAAGATAAACGTGAGAACTCTTAGAAGAGCCACCAGTTACATCTTTTACACTTCGCTCCTGCTGTTTAGAGTGTGTGTTGTCATAATAGAAAGTGGACATTTTGTGGCATCCCAGGTTCTAGAAGAGTGCCTAGAACAGGTAATCAAGGCATGTCTGCGGAGTGCATTGATGAGTTCATCAAAACAGTGTGCTGTGTGACACTGTTTAAAGACATTTTTGTACCTCTGATTAGACTCAAATTTTTATATTTGTTATTCCATAGGAGATTGACATCTTCTGACAACAGACCTCGAGAAGACAGCTGGTTAAAATCCTTATTTGTCCGGAAAGTTGATCCAAGAAAAGATGCTCACTCTAATCTCCTAGCCAAAAAGGAAACAAGCAGTCTATACAAATTACAGTGTGAGTGATAGGTTTGCTATCTTCATAGAGTTGACTTTTTTCCTTTTGTTCATAAGTTTATTGAATTTTCTTTTGTTTCAGTTCACAATGTTAAACCGGAATGCCTAGACGCATACAACAAAATTTGGTGTGTATACCAAACTATCCTTTACTTGGGGAAAAATAGTGCTTTTAATATTTGTTGGTCAGCTAACACTTGACAGCAGAATGACAACTTTCATTCCTCTTCTTAAAGCTGAATGTTCAGAGGCTCTTAAATTGAGCTCTGTATGGGATTACCAAGGACATTTTGATTTTAAGCACTCATATAGCTAAATTATCACATTGGCTATCAGACTTTAGGATGTTACTAGACTCTAAGGTTAGAAGGAACCTTACAAGGCTGTCTAGTCCATCTGCTCTTCTAGTGCTTGAGTCCTTTCTGGAGACCGTCCTGACTGTCCGTGCTTAAATACATTCAGACATTCCATCTCTGGACAGGTTTGACCGTTAGGAATTAGAACGCACTTCCCTTTGTCCTCCTTTGTTTCCAGTTTACTCCTAAGTAAAACTGCCATATGAAAGTCCTATAGGTATTTGACTGTCGCTGCCATTTCTTCCCAAGCCTTCCATTTATCAGGATCCAAGTCCCTTCGGTACATTGTCATGTGAAATGAGATCCATATGCTCTTATAGAATTTGTAAACTTTAAGACTGAAGAGAGAAGGGCATCAGTTCTTAAGTTATCGGAAATAGTATTTTAATGATAATGGTGAGCAAATATAATTAAAAAGCAATTTTTACCTTTAATATCTGCTACTTTCATGAGAAAGCAAATGATTTTGTAACTGGAATCAGGATAATTTTCAGAAGCAAAAATCTTGTGTTTTATTTTTGGAGATGGTTCATGAAATGTAACATTAGCATAGGATTCCTTAGCTCAGCACAGTTTTCTTTATTAAAAAATGCTCTAAACAGAGCAGATGCTTATTTCTAAATCTTTTCTCAGAAAATGAAATTTTTTTCTCTATCCTGATGTTTCCCTGGATTATCTTTCCTGTCCTGTTTTATCATTTCATCTGTCTCAGATTTCTGTCTATTCATATATCTATTTGGGTGTCTTGCTCTCCCTTCAAACTCAGCATGTGGAATCAACTCGCCCTTCCAACTTCCCTGTGTGTCACTCACCATAGTTTTATTTAACCGTTTCCTTAGTTCTTTGTGATTAGTTAGTCACCAAGGGCTGTGCATTCTTCATTTGACATGTATTTTGGTTCTCTTTGCTTGTTTCCTTCTCCATCTCCGTCTCCCAGCCTGTTGCGCTCCATTTCCAAGTAGCCTCCTTTCTGACTGCCTTCCTGGGCTCAGAGCTCTACCTGTACCTCCACCCCACCCCACAATCTATTGCAAAAAAGTTTGTCAAATTGATTCACTTGAGTTCTGTTTTCTCTTTCATCATGTTTTTCTTTTCTCTGAAACTTTCAGCAGCTCCCTGTTTCCAGTACATAAAGACTTAACTCCTGCTGGTTTTTAGGGGCCCCAATAATGAGGCCCAACCCATCCAGTTCTGGGTACAAGTACTGCCTACCTTACAACCTCCATTCAGGTAAGGCCAGGGCTTCCAAGAGCAAGTTTGGGGCCCCCAAAAAAGAGAATTGGCTACAAATCCATATATAATTTTGTATTGGTGAAACACGTAGGCCCCTTTCCGGACCCCGCCTGGGTCATCTATACTGGGTTCCTTCTTCCACATTGGTCCTATTCAGGATTGTTTACTTCCTGCTCATGTCATATGGCAAAAAGGAAACTCATGTCCATTTCCCTAACATAATCCATCTTTACCTGTCTCCAGTTGTCACCAATCCCATGTTATTTCTAAACATGTGTTTATGACCCAGTACAATGACACACCATATATATTTTTTTTTAAAAAGATTGGCAGCTAAGCTAACAACTGTTGCCAATCTTTTTTTTTTTCTTTCTGCTTTTTCTCCCCAAATCCCCCCAGTGTATAGTTGTATATTTTAGTTGTGGGTCCTTCTAGTTGTGGCATGTGGGACACCACCTCAGCGTGGCCTGATGAGTGGTGCCATGTCCACACCCAGGATCCAAACCAGAGAAACCCTGGGCTGCCATAGTGGAGTGCACTAACTTAACCACGCAGCCACGGGGCCAGCCCCCATGTATATTTTTTGAAGAGTGGCATTTACTGTTAAGATCTTAAGAGCAAATGCCACCCTTCAAAGAATACTTATAGTATGGTCATTGTACTGGGTCATAAATACGTGTGGGTTTTCATTTAGTTAGACATAAAGCCATGCTGAGCTTTTCTCTGTTAACTTTTCATATATACCGAGTCCTGGTACCCCAGCATCTGGTGGTGATCACTAGCTTAATATCACTCAATGTCAGCAAATAGTTTGAACAGGTTCTATTTCTGAGCTTTGGTATCCTTTTGCATCTATTGTTGAATCTGTATTGTACTTTTTCATCATAATTTTTCTATTAAAAAAGTGTGCAGGTTTTAGCTTTCCTCTTAGTATGATACAGTTATGCCTCTTCCCTTTGCCTTTCCCCGTACATTTGAATCTGTACCATGGGAAGGTTTCCATAGAACCAAGCTCTGACACCTCCGTTAAATTAATACACTGCCTTGTGTACACTGTCATGGCTTTGCCACTGCTCCTGTACAATCAATGGTAATGAACTAGGTGGTGTGTTCAATATGGGATTATGCTGTACCTCTCAGATCCCCTCAGCTGGTTGAATTGAGTAGAACCTAATTTATGCTTCATGTTGTATCTTTAATTTGGATTCTGCCACATTGATGCCCTTCGGGACTGTTGGAGTTGGGGTTGCTTCTAGGCTGTGTTTTGTTCTAGCTCTTTCTTCTTCCTCTTTCCTTAAGTCCAACTTGTTCTCTGCCTACTTGTGCTGCTTCTGTTGTTTCCCCTATCTTAAACATTACTTTCTTCTCTTTCTTATTTCTTCCATGTTCTTTTTCTACTATTTCCGATTCTCTCATTCTTCCTATCTTTGGAACCAGCAGAACTTAGCTTTCATAAACATCGCTATTCCTAAGTACTTCTTTTTTCTTCTAAAATGGCAAATAGTAGACCCATATTTCCTGGAATCTTGGGACCTTTGTCTCTTCTTTATCATTTTTATCACTAGAGTTTCTTACAGCTGTTCTAGATAGTTGGGGTATCAGAGACCTAAGCTTCTGATAAGTGGAATATTAGAGTACAGTAGAATTTAGCTAAAAGGTTAATTCTGCACATCATTTTGTCATAAATATATTCTGAGATCATTTGTTAGAACACAAAGTAAATGGCTTTTTCCATGTGTTGTCCACCTGGTATAATTTTATTGGTTTAATTAGTGTTGCTCTTTCTTCTCTTTAAGTCAAGAGGTGTTGCCAAAGGTTCATGAAGATAAACATTACCCTTGTACTCTGGTGGGGACTTGGAACACGTGGTATGGCGAGCAGGATCAAGCTGGTAGGAAGCAGAAGTCTTTGGAATAAGGACTTCTTCCTTAAGCCTTTATTATAACAACTTAAATAAATAAATTTAATTCTCATTTTTATAATCAGAGCTTTCCAAGTCCCAGTCTAGTTTTATGGTTAGTTTCTCCAGTAATTCGCTGCAAAAACTACTTTTTATTGTTTTTAATGTTTGAATCTATTATGGAAACTTTATGGTGTAACCCGTAGGCCAACACCCAGCACATTACAGTTTGTACTGTGTTAACATTATTTGTATCTAGAATATTTTCAAGGTAAGAGTATCATGAAACTCTAAGTAAATGTTATCTTTTAAAATATATTTCAGTCCACCTCTGGAGGTATGAAGGAGGCTATCCAGCCCTCACGGAGGTCATGAATAAACTCAGAGAAAATCAGGTAATGATTTTGAAAAGTGTTTACTTATTCAGGTTATTGATATAGTAGATGTTAGTACAGAATTAAATGACTCTTGGGGCTGGCCCCGTGGCTGAGTGGTTAAGTTTGCGCGCTCCGCTGCAGCGGCCCAGGGTTCAGATCCTGCGCGTGGACGTGGCACTGCTCGTCAGGCCCCGTTGAGGTGGCGTCCCACATGCCACAACTAGAAGGACCTGCAACTAAGATATACAACTATGTACAGGGGGGATTTGGGGAGATAAAGCAGAAAAAAAAAGATTGGCCACAGTTGTTAGCTCAGGTGCCAATCTTTAAAAAAAAAAAAAAAAGAATTAAATGACTTTTCTGTCATCAGTTTTTGTTAATAAACTGGTTTTTGTAGTAGGAATTTTATTATTTGGATTCTTGAAGTTGTATTAAAACGTAAAGTAACCAGTTGTACTACTATTAAAATAATAGCTTTTATTGTAAAAGTCAGTTGTACTTTGAAACTGATAAGCTGGTGCTTTGAAACCTGTAAGTCAGCGTGGTTGACAGTCAGCCCTGGATTACCTAACACACATCTGCTTCAGAAACTGCCAACCACATATTCTTGACCTTGGGCTGACTTTGCTATCCTCCCCCTCCCTTCACTAATAAGTGCATGTTAGTGGAGAAAATTTTAATAGCCATACATTATTAGGAAAGAAAACCTTTTCTTTAGATTCCAAGTCCAAATATAAATGGCTTTTAGATTATCTGATGTCTTGTAGTGTCCATGTTGCCTCTATTAATATGCTGTCAAACACTGTTAGAAGCACCTAAAAACGTAGGAAATTAAATTTATTTATATTGTCATTTAGATAATTAGGATGATCATATAGTTGTCATCTAAACCTAGACATACAAGAGGTAAACTGGGACTTTGTCAGGCCAACTGGGCCCTACTCATAATAATATTCTATCATGGGAGAAACAGAAATGTTACTTAAGTAGTGGGTTTATATATAAGTTTTGGATGATTTCATGAACACATTTTTTTCACTCAAAGGAATTTGTGGAATTCCGTAAGGCCAGAAGCAACATGCTTCTCTCTAGGAAGAATCAGCTGCTATTGGAGTTCAGTTTCTGGAATGAGCCTGTCCCACGGTCAGGACCTAATATTTATGAACTCAGATCTTACCAACTCCGAGTAAGTACTAAACATGAGTTAACTGTTCCCTCGTTCTTCTCTGAAGAAGCATGAGCACCCCTAATGCTGACAGTGAAAGTTGAGTGTGTGTGCACTCTGTGACGTGTATTTGGCATTACATTTTGATTGGCTTGTTTTCTCCCCCATCCAGTCCTTCTCTTATTTCCTTTTTTTCCTTCTTTCTTTCTCATTCCTTCCCTTCTGCTAAGCTCTTTTGTTTTTTATAATCTTACACATAATGTTAATTATTGGACATTTTTCCTATAGTGTTTCTATTTTTAAGAAGAACCATCTAAAATACAGGACTAGGTACAATATGTTAGCGTGTATTGTAATTGAACTAGAGCAACTTATAAATGTGACTGTTGAATAAATTATATAACACTGTAAAAGTAAGAGGGAATAATAGTTTATGAGACTTTCTAGATGTTTCCCTACTGACTACTAGAAAGAAAGCTCCAGATAACAACATTGTTAGAAGGAATACATATTAGTAGATCTCAACTGTCTAATACTCACCATTATGCTGGAAAAAAATAAAGTGACGTCCTTGTTAAGTTTACTTAAATTGAATTCTTTTTAAATTTCACAATACAGTCTGAATGGATACCCACAATTGTGACTTCAGTACATTTGGACGATGGGCCTAAGTATGGTTTTGATAACCATGATTGGATGATTTACTCTTACACTGTATATATGTTGTCTTCTCATATGATGCTGTGGGATATTACTCCCACTATGGGATAGGTATGAATACAGTGAATAGTATTATTTTGTTACTTTTTTTATTTGTTAATCTCACATTTTTAAAAGTTAATTTTTAAGTTAGTTTTGTCATTTGATATTTTTTATACTGCTATTCCCATATTTCTTGACAGAAGAACTAACAAACCAAAATCCAAATCTCTTTTCAGCCAGGAACTATGATTGAATGGGGCAATTATTGGTAAGTATATTACCATATGGTGAGTTTCTAAATCTTCTTAATAGATTATTTTAGGCCATAATATTAATTTTAAGAAGAAAATCTGGGGATAACGCCATGATATTTTGTTTGACGTTTTTATTATCAAACTTTTTAAACATATGCAAAACTAGAGGGACTAATACCATGGATCCCCCCGCCATCCCCAGTGTTTAGTTTCAATAATTATCACCACATGGCCAATCTTGCTTAGGTTCAACCCCCAAGCCAGATCATTTGGAAATAACTCTTAGACAATATACCATTTTATCCATAAATATTTTAGTATACATCTCTAAGAGATAAGGACTCTTCTTTTTTTTTTTTAACAAAACCCAATGTTACATGAGGTTATTTCATATTCTTGTATATTATCTTTTCTGAAATACTGCTTTTGTCGCATGAATGGAGCAGCTCAATGATACAGTTGGGTTTTTTTTTCTTCTTAGTCTAGGTAGCAAAATACACGTCTTTCCCCAAACTTTCTATAGATTTAGCACAATTGCAGTCAAAATCCCAGCAGGCTTTGGAGATGTACATGACCCCAAATAGCTAAAATAGCCTTGGAAAAGAAGTACAAAGTTAGAAGAGTCACACTTCTCAATTTCAGAACTGACTACAAAGCTAGAATAATCGAGACATTATAGTACAGGCATCAGGACAAGCATACAGATCATGGAATAGAATTAAAAGTCCATAAATAAATTGTCACGTATATGAGCAGTTGGTTTCCGACAAATGTACTGAGGCAATTCAATGGGGACAGATAGTCTCTCCAACCAAATGTGCTAAGACAACTGGATATCCTTGCAAAAAGATAAATTTGGACACCTACCTCACATTGTATATAAAAAATAACCAAAATTGAACTGTAGACCTAAATGTAAGAGCTAGAATATAAAACTTTTAGAAGAAAACATAGGAGAAAATCTTCTTTTCATAAAAATTAAAACCTTTTGTAATTCAAAGGATATCATCTAAAAAATTAAAAGACAAGTCACAGACTGGGAGAAAGTTTTGCAAATCATCTCTCTGATAACGAGTGTATCCCAAATATATTTTTTAAAAATCCTGCTACTAAATAATAAGAAGATAAATAACCCAACTAAAAAATGGGCAAAGGACTTGAATAGATAATTCTCCAGAGATATACAGATGGCCCAAAAGCATTTGAAAAGATGCTCAGCATCACTAATCATAAGAGAAATGCAAATCCAAACCAAAGTATTATCTCACACTCTTTAGGATGGCCATTATCAAAAGAACAGGAAATAGCAAGTGTTGGCCAAGATAGAGAGAAATTGGAACCCTCGTGCACTGTTGGTGGGAATGTAAAATGGCGCAGCCGACACGGAAAGTAGTACAGCGGTTCCTCAAAACGTTACAGTAGAATTGCCGTGTGATCCAGTAATCCCACGTCTGGGTATGTAATTTAGAAGAACTCAAAGCAGCAGCTCAAAGAGATATTTGCACACCCATGATCATCACAGCATTATTCACAGTAGCCAAGAGGTGAAAGCAACCCAAATATCCATCTACAGATGAATGGATAACGAAAATGTGATATATACATATAAGGGAATATTATGCAGCCCTTTAAAAGAAGAAAATCCTGCCACATGCTACAATATGGATGAAACTTGAGAACATCATGCTAAGCAAAATAGCCAGTCACAAAAGAGCAAATATAGTTTGATTCCACTAATACAAAGTATCTAAAGTAGTCAAAATCACAAACGGAAAATGAAAAGGTGGTTGCCAGGGCCTGGGTGGAGTGGAGTTGGCATTTAGTGGGTATAGTGTTTCAACATTGCGAGATGAAAATGTTCTGGAGATCTGTTGCACAACAATGTGAATATTCTTGGCACTACTTTATTGTTTCATAAAACAAAAATATAAATACTATTTTAATAAAAATTCAGTAAAACTAAATTTAATGTTACATGTTATTTACCGTAATAATAAATAAAAATGATAAAATAAAATATATTTTTTTAAAGATTGGCCCTGAGCTAACATCTGTTGCCAATCTTCTTGGTTTTTTTCCTTCTCCCCAAAGCCCCCCAGTACATAGTTGCATATTCTAGTTGTAGGTCCTTCTAGTTCTGCTATGTGGGACGCCGCCTCAGCATGGCTTGGTGAGCAGTGCTAAATCCACACCCAGGATCTGAACCAGTGAAACCCTGGGCTGCTGAAGCGGGGCACACAAGCTTAGCCACTTGGCCATGGGGCTGGCCCCAAAAATCATAAAATAAATTTTTAAAGATTTTTTAAATGGGCCAAGAATTTGAATAGACATTTCACCCAAAGAGAGATATGAATGCCTAATAAGCACGTGAAAAGATGGTCAGTCTCCTTAGTCATTATGGAAATGCAAAGTAAAACCACATTTCATACCCATTAGGGTGGCTGTAACTAAGACAGATAATAACACATGTTGGTGAGGTTGTGGGTAAATTGGTACCCTCATACATTACTGATGAGAATGTAAAATGGTGCAGCCATTTTGGAAAACAGTCTGGCAGTTCCTCAAAATGTAAACATGAAGGTACCATATGACCCAGCAATTCGACTCCGATGTATATACCCAAGAAATGAAAGTGTGTACAGTAAAGTTTGTGCAGAAAGTATGTAAAGTAAGTTTGTATGTACATCCATACAAACTTATGTACGATGATCATAGCATTTGGGGGGAGGGGGAGAGGTTCAAACCATTTTATTGAGGGGCTTTGGGGGAGGGTCAGAAGGCTGGAAAGACAATGAGATTGGACATCCTTGGCCTGGCTGGGTTCCAGCTTCACGTTTTCCCTAATCATAGCATTTTTCATCATAGCCAAAAAGGTGGAGATAACCTAAATGCCCATCAGTGGCTGAATGAATAAACTTGGTATATCCATGTAATGGAATACTTTTCAGCAATGAAAAGGAATAAACTACTGATACATGCTACAAATGTGGATTAACCTCAAAAACATGCAATATAAAAGAGCCTAATACAAAGGAGCACATATGCTGTGATTCCATTTGTATGAAATGTCCAGAAAAGACAAATCTATAGAGATGGAAAGATTAGTGTTTGCCTGGGACTAGAGGCACAAATGGATTGTGGTGATGGTAGCACAGGTCTGTAAATGAGTAAAAATGGAATTGTACACTTAAGTGAATTTTATGGTATGTAAGATATACCTCAATAAAGCTGCTAATGACATGACTAAAGAGAATTTATACCACAAATCTAAGAATGATTCAAAATGAAGAAACCGATTAGTATAGCACATACAATCAAGGCTGGAATAGGTGTCTTAACACACACGCTTTCTGAAGGTGCCTGACCCCTGCACGCCCGTGCACATCACCTCCATGCCTCTGTTAGAGCACTTCTCACACACCCCAGGGGAGCCTTCAGTTTCCAGTTCTATGACTAACTACCAGGTCTGGCACATCCTGGGTGGTAGTAAATGTTAAATGGATGGTAGAAAATAGTGGTTACATAAAAAAAACAAGGTCAGTTGTAGTGGCCAAAATTGTAAACAACCTGTGTGCCTTAGGGGAATAGATTATAGCACTTTCATGCAGTGGAGTCTAATGCGGTTAAAGTAAAACGTCTGCACGTGGATAAATCTTGAAAACACCAAGTTGAGGAGAAAGAGCTGGTTAAAGAATATGTACAACGTGTTGTCTCTTACGTACATTTTTTTTTTTTTTAAGATTGGCACCTGGGCTAACAACTGTTGCCAATCTTTTTTTTTTTTTCTGCTTTATCCCAAACCCCCCTGTACATAGTTGTATATCTTAGTTGCAAGTCCTTCTAGTTGTAGGATGTGGGACGCCGCCTCAACGTGGCCTAACAAGCAGTGCCATGTCTGCGCCCAGGATCCAAACCCTGGGCCACCGCAGCGGAGTGCGTGAACTTAACCACTTGGCCACGGAGCTGGCCCTCTTACGTAAATTTTAAAAAGATGTAAGAAGAGAGTTCTATAAACAGGTTATGTATAACAAGAGTTATATAAAAAGATATAACTACTGTTCATGGATACATACATACAAAGTAGAAATATGAAGCATGGACAGGAAGACTTGAGAGCTAACTGTTTCCAAAGAGTGGTGACGGATGGGGGGATAGGAAAAGATTTGAGGCGACTCTGAAGTATTCATGCTTTAAACATTTAAGTGATTAGAATGTTTGGAATATTTCATAAGTAAAAGAAAATTTAAAAATCATAATGTGTGTTCAGAAGGCATTTGATAAGATTCTACACCAGTTTTATTAGACACTAATTCTTAATGAAAAACATTTTAAAAATTGGTAATAGAGTATATTTTATTTAAATCAGAGGTTGACAAACTTTTCTGTAAAGGACCAGATAGTAAATATTTTAAGCTCTGAACCGTGCTGTGTCTGTTTATTTAACTCTGCTATTTTAGCGCAAAAGCAAACATGGGCAATTTGTAAACGAATGCGCGTGGCTACGTTCCCACAAAACTTTACTTATGGACAATGAAATTTGAATTTTATAGCTTTCATGTGTCATGAAATATTCCTTGTTTTGATTTTTTTTTCAAGCATTTAAAAATGTAAAAACCATTCTTAGTCCCTGAGCCATAAAAGCATGCAACAGAGGATACGATTCAGTCTGAGGGCCAGAGTTTGCTGGCCCTGATTTAAATGACGAAACTTATTTTCCCCATTTTAACGGCTACATTAAACTCAATGGTAAAACACAGGAAGCATGCTCATTACCATTATAACAAAATACCAACTTTCACCATTATAATTTTATATTCTTTTTGGAAATCCTATTGTAATAGAAAAAACCAAAAGATATAATAAGATAAAGTCTCAATAATTAAGAGGGATACGCGAATAGATTATTGGCCCTTGGTCAGCTATTGACTCTTGGTTTCTTTATCTTTAAATGAGAACCTGTGACTTTTTACTTACTTTCAATTTATATATGTTCTTTTTTCAGTTAGGAAATTTCTTGCTTTGGACTAGATAATTTCTAAGACCTATCTGCAAAATATGGTTTTGTGATCTTTATTTGTAATGAATCTTTTCCTTCTTGGTGATCACAGGCTAAATAATTCAAGTTAGAATTTCTTTTAATTAGAAAACTGAGAAATACGTATTTGATTGTATACTATTATTATAGGTACCATCTTATTAAGGGATTTTTATAGTTGGGGGGGTGCTTATAGATGTAGTAATTTAGTTGCCCACAGAATAGGATCACTCAGCAGCTCTGTTTTTGCAGGTTACTAATTAAGACTTGCCCAGCATGGATCCACAAGGAAGCACTGAAGTGATTCTTTAGTTATTTTAAAAATTATTTATAAAGCCAGTTCAGCATTCAATTTATATTTTGGCACATAGGTAACTATTTAAGATGGTGATCTCCTCTTCAGTACATGCTTCTGATTATTACCAGGCTAAGGCAAGTATGTTTTCTTTGCCTACTCTAACTGAATGAGAAAAATTCAGAACGAAATGAATTATCCTAAATATTTATCACTATCAATGAAAGACAGTTTTTTCCCCTTCTGAGTAGAGTTAGAATGCACATTAAAGTGATTTGTTTAATTTCAGTAATTTACCAATCAGATTTGTAATTTTTGTGAAGATATTGATCACTTAATTCTAAATCTAAGGTTAAAAAATTTACTGTCATTTTGGGGTAACCCAAGAGGGCAATAGCAAGAGATCCCTCCTTCACCCAAGAACCCAAAACCTTAGGTTAGCCGTGTGGAGCTGAGTGCATGGAGGATGAGAGCTGAGGTGTACGAAGTGATCTGAGGGAGACTAGCTCCCTCACTCCCGAAGCAGGGTGCCCTTGCTCTGATTCCATACCCACCTTTGTGATATTCTAATTCAGTTGCTATGAAGTTGGCCTCCGGGAAGAGAATGTATAGTCAAGCCCACTCAGATCTTTTGTCCCTTGAGAGTTCTGTCTCTCACTATAGATATCAACTCGGCCCCTGTTGTAACACACTTTGACCAGAGCCTGGGCAGTGTTGATTCCAATTTACTGCATAATCTGGGTGTGGAGTCTCTTGAGAGACTCCAGCTGTGCTGCTCCTGGTAACTTCCTGTCGCTTCCTCCATTTTCAACTTTTATTCCAGGAAACTGTTTTTAGAAAAATATCTACATTTTAAAAATATTTTCAGGATTTCAGATGCATCACTAAATAGAAAAATAAAGTACCTGGTGCAAATATGAAAGAAGGTGTTTAGAGAGCTGATACCTTTTGCAGCAGGAAATCTTGAAAAGTTTGTGCCAATTTTTAACCAATTTAACCACAATTTCATGTTACATGCATAGACATAATATATGTACACACTTTCGTTCACACATATACATAATAAATGTCATTTGGCACTTATTTTCCTAATGGTTTGCTCTGGTAAAAAAAAAAAAACAAAACAGGAGGCAGCTCCAGTGTTGATAGTGATGGTGGTGATGGTGTGTCGCCAGGAAGCTCTGCTTTCGTGGTTCTCCCAGATGCTGTCCAGGAGGTTGCAGAATGCCTCTTAGAGTTCACAAAGCTCACGTGTTTCTCAGAATTCACTGTCTGCAACTGCTTTGAAGGTGTGCTCCCTCCGTCTCTGTTTTAAGCCTCATTCTTGAGGGGTGGTCCCTGTCTTGGATATAGTACCTGTGGCGTCTTGGATGGTCTAGTATCCGGGTTTCCCTCACTTTCCCTCAGCATGCTCTTGGAGGTGCAATTCTTTTTCCTTCTCCCCAAAGCCCCCGCCGTACATAGTTGTGTATTCCAGTTGTAGGTCCCTCTGGTTGTGCTGTGTGGGACGCCGCCTCAGCATGACTTGATGAGCAATGCTAGGTCCACACCCAGGATCCAAACTGGTGAAACCCTGGGCCATCGAAGCAGAGCACACAAACTTAACCACTCGGCCACCGGCCAGCCCCAGAAGCAATTCTTTTTAAGTTGACTGGTCCTATCCTCTGCCAATTTTTTTTATGTCAAGAATCAGCAGGGCAACCATGTGTCCTCACGTTTTTATTTTAATAGCCAACGTTACTTACTGTCTACTCACAAAAATGACTAGTATAGCTACAGAAAGGTATATTTACATCTTATATATCTTAAAATAACTTTTGATTGCATTTGATAATTAAAAAACAATTAGTCTTCATTCTGAACAACTTGCTCTGAATATGGAGAAAATTTACTAATTCTTTTTAACATATCTAATTCAACATCTGAACATTGTTTTATTTCTTACAGGGCTCGTGCAATTCGCTTCCGACAGGACAGTAATGAGGCAGTTGGAGGATTCTTCTCTCAGATTGGGCAGCTATATATGGTGCATCATCTTTGGGGTATGTAGTTTTTTCCCTTCAGTTTTGTGTTACTGGGATTTCAGAGTTGATGACTAAATAAGTTGTCCTAGGCAGTAAAGCATGTCTCAATTCAGTAACCTCAAACACTGTAGCAAATCCAGTGGCAGGTAAGTGCTGGGCTAGCCCTAGATTCATGGGACATGAGTAAGCTGATCGTGCAGGTGGGGATAATGGTGAAAGGAATGAGAAGTGAAGCAAGCAACCATGGGAGAGGGAAGACGGTAAAGCTGCTGAGTGCCTTTCACAGAGTGGTCCCAACCCCCCTTTGTAGCCACTTCCCGTTGCTCCCTCAGAGACAGTCCTGCATTTTACCCAAAGGAGCAGCTCCCCGCACGCACACTCTGCCTCCCTTGGGTCTGGTTCCATCATCCCGGAGGCCATTCCCCTCTCGCCTTTTCCATCCCACCCACTTTGGTTCAGCACCATCTTTGGTGTCTTTCAGGGCCTAACTCACATGTTCCCCTTCCCCAAAGGGGAACGTCTCTCTGCTCCTGAGCCTCCCAGAGCCCAGTGTGTGGATTATCACAGTTGTGGCTATTTGCTTCTGTCTCCCTGCTGGAACAGGAACTGGGTCTCAGTAATAGCTTGGTACATTCTGGGCACATTTGTAAATGGTTATTAAAGTTAAAAAAGTGAAAAGTATAACTCATTTCCAGACCATTATCAGTTAACTGAGGTATTGGTTTGACCTGTTTGGTCCTATCAAGTGTTGCACCCTGTCTGCTTGCTGTGTTAGCAAGGCAGGCTTACAAACATAAGGTGACAAGTCTAATGAGGGATAAAGCAAACACGAACGACATGCCACAAGACAGCATGTGATCAGTAACGTGGGGAGTTACATTCAGGGTACTCCTAACACTTAAAGGGATATAAAGTTACATGTATTAGGGGAAATCACTAAAAGGTGGAATATGAGCTAGACTTCAGGATCTAGATGGGGTTGACAGGTAAAGGTGGGAAGGAAGGGCTGGAACAGTGATGGAGATCTGAGAAATCATAAAAAGTGCTCAGAAAAGTACAAATAGTGCACACTTGCTAAATGGAAGGTTATCTGCCAGGGACCTAAGTCTGAAGGGTAAGTTGAGGCATGAAAAGCAGTTTTACATTGTGCTTCTGGAAGCCTCCCTGCAGACCCTCAGGTCTGGGGAGGAGACCGCCGTCCTTCCCCTGCCAATCACTGCTTCAGCTAGGTGCTCGTCTCAGCTGCAGACGCTGGGCTCCTCTGGCATTTAAGAGATGGAAGACCTTACACCAAATGATAAATACCACACATAACCCTCAGCTGCCCAGAACGTCAAGGGCAGCCTTGTCCTAGGGAGCTTAGTTTTCTAGCTAGCTGAGATTTGACCTCATAAGTATCAGTGTTTTTAAATGTAGTAGATTTGGAAACAAATCTCTAAAAAATGTCTTCTGTGCCCTTGCCTTTTGAGATTATACTAAATGTAATTTAACCTTTATGGGTTTGAGGTAGGGGTGAAGTAGATTCTATTATTTTTCAAATAGTGTAGATGGTCTCTCCAGGGGATACAAACTGAAAAGTCAGACCACTCCTTTTCCCGCCCCTTCCTTTCAGCCTGGAGAGGCCACTGAGGGCATCTCCTGCACGCCTTCCCAGACATCCTCTGTACATGAGTGAGCACAGGGACTTGGTAGGCCAGGATCACCACATGCTTTGGCTCATAGGCGGAGGTCAAGCCATGCATACGCTCTGTTCACATGAGAGCCTACAGCACGTCTGGATAGGGACTGCCAGGTGTAGCAGCCTGGAATTGCAGCCAGGCAGGCACCAGGAGGTGTGAGTGGCAGAGCTGTGACAGGGTGTGGGGAGTACAGGGCAGAGCCCTTGACTCTGCCCCATGGAGAGGACGTGAGGCTTCACACAGCAACAGCAAGATGAGGAGGAGTCCTCTAAGATCCTGCTCCACGCGGAGACGCAGAAGCCAGGAACAACGTGGTGATTTGGCATCTGAGAGTAGCTAGATTGCAGCATGTGTCTTTTCTTAGCCAGTGCCCTTCTCCACTCTGTTGTCCCCGGTCAGTGTCCCAGATGTCCACTGCCTACTTCCTACTTTATAGGAAAAATTATTAGGATATGCAGAGATGAATTCTCACTTGCCTGCCCCTAAAACTTACCCTCACTTTTCCCTATATTTTAGAGAAACAGAACCAACATCTATTGAGCACCTCCATTGTGTTGGTTATTTTACTCATCATTCTCTTTAATCCTTACAACCGCACACCACAAATGAGATACCTGTGACTCATAGATGGTAAATCAATTACCCAGAACCCACAGCTATTCAGTAACTTAGCCAGGCTTGGACCTTGGCACAGTTTGGCTTCAAAGCAGGTCTTTCCACAACACTGCACCCGTTCCTTTCCCCCTTGCGCTTGATGCCATCCCTCCCCTCCCCTCCAGGCCTTGCTCCTCCATTTGCTCCACCACCACCCCATCTGTGGGCTCCTTCCCTCAGCATGAATATGCTCAAGTGCTGCCCATCTTTAAAAGCCTCCGAAACCCAAATGTCCATTGATGGATGAACAGATAAACAAAGTGTGGTATGTACATATATAACAGAACATTATTCAGCCATAAAAAGGGATGAAATTCCAATACACACTACAACATGGGTGAACCTTGAAAACATTATACTAATTGAAATAAGCCAGACACAAAAGGACAAATTGTGTGATTCCGCTTATATGAAGTACCTAGATTAGGCAAATTCAGAGAGACATAATACAGAAGAGAGGTTACCAGGGGCTGGGCGACGGGAGCAATGGGGAGTTATTGTTCAGTGGATAAGAGTTGTAATTTGGGATGATGAAAAAGCTTCAGAGTTGGATGGTAATGATGGTGGCACAGTGTCAATGTACTTAATGCCACTGAATTTAATACCTTTAAAAACGGTTAAAATAGTAGATTTTATGTATATTTTACAATAAAAAAATTTTTAATTATGAAAATTTAAAATTAAAAAAAGAATGCAGGCCTCTCCAACCTGTGTCCTACAAGGGGGCTCATACAGTGCACTAGTTAGGCACCTGACCTCTGTGAGAAGCTGCTGCTTGTCACATGAAGGTTAACTTTTTTCCTGTGCTGGTGAGAGGTAAAAGTTTTCTTTTTCCTTCTATTTTTCAGCATCTTCAAAATTTTATGTAATATATGTATACTCCATTCCTACTAGAGGGACATTTTGTCTTTAGATGGTTAAATCACTAAGCCTACAAGGGTAGGGCTTCTCATAGGAAGAAGTAAGTCACTTAGAGAAAAGGCGTGTGTCCCAAAACAGAAACTAGAACTGAGGGAGGTAGTCCTGGGTGATCTTTTAGTCTTGACTGACCAATACCAACACCACTTCGAGATGCCTAGGAGGTATTTCCCTGGTAAGTAGTTGGAAGGATCTTGCCCACGTTGGGAATCAGAAACTAAGGCACCCAAATGAGATAGATAGCTGTGAATTGTACCACATGACACCAAGGACTCTGATGCCTTCGACCCTGCTCTTCCTTCCACCTGGAGTGTCTTTCTGTTCCGTTGCTCTAGGTCAATGACTTTCTTTTCAACCTTCCACGCAGCTGTCCCTGGTCTCCTCCCTGTTCTCCTTGTGGACTCTGTTCTGGAGGATACCACAGTTCTCAGCAGGGGTTGACCTTGCCTTTACCTGTCTTTTTGTTCTCCACCGCATTGAACACAGTCTCTCACCCAGATCGTTGTAGTACTTCATAAATGTTGAGCAAACTTGAATCTAATATTGCTTACCTATAGTCTGACAGTTCCTGGTTATGAATTTAACATATTATTAAAGAAGTTCACTTGGTTTATAAAGGTATGTCTTGGAACCACTAGACTGTAAAACTTAAGAGCAGATTGTTTTGCTTCCCCCACAAAGCCTAACGTAATTTTGCTCAGAATAACCAGCTCACAGTGATCCAAGCTTAGTACTAAATTCCTGAAGTAGTCTCTTTGAGAAAACTAGACGAGCAGGTGAATCAATACTTACTGGATATACTAGTGGAATGTAGGGCATTATGTTTGGTTTAAGTCTTGCTTCTTCTCTGGTTATTTTTAAGCTTACAAGGATCTTCAGATCAGGGAAGATATACGAAATGCAGCATGGCATAAACATGGCTGGGAAGAACTGGTGTATTATACAGGTAATTTTTTAACAGGCATAAAACATTTCATTCTTCCTGTCTTATGGTTTTATGTTCCCTCACCCTGAAGCTAATATGTATATAAAAATACAGTATGTTGCTCTAGGATGGTGAATTTTAAGGTTGGGGGGATGGAGAATTAGTCAAATTTTTCTTCACCAGTTACAGATTTTTTTTCAATAAAGAATATTCATTCTTTCAACCATATATGTTGCCTTGTACAGTTTTGACACTCTTGTATATTGTAAATTTTACATCATTACCCTTTTTTGTACATTTATATATTCTCTGAAAATTTATTACACCAATAAATTTTTTTCTAAGCTTTCCCTTTCTCATCAAAATTGTCCATTCCCAAAAACATTACAATTTAATACAGCAATTAAGTAATTTTGAAAACTTATTTGATATTTAAACTTTCCATATGTACACGTGTATGCCTATACATGTGTGTATACCCACATACATATATGCTATGAAATCCTGGTTGCTTGACTTTAATAAGAAAACAAGAAATTGGGCTGAATACAACCCAGTGATGCCAGCACATGTAATAAGTACCAACCATGTTGCATGTCAAGTACATTTAAGCCCATATACTACCAAGAAAATCAGAGTAATTCGTTCTAGAAAATGAGTATTATCTTTTATTTCAAAAAAACCATATAATTGCACGTGACTTTACTGCTTATTCTTATACTTTCGTCAGTTCCCAGAGGCATGTTTTAACTCAGCAGTGACAGTTTTGCAAGTACAGTGTATCTTATCCCTTTATACAGGATACAGTCAAAGGCAGTATTAGTTGATTTTATATAAATTTATTTTAGTTGAAGGAACCTTTGGAGAAAGCACCATTTTTCTCACAATATGGACTTCCCTAATTTCCTGCAAATGAAACATGTCTACAGACAGAATCTGTTTTAATTTTAATAACATCTTATAGGAAGTCAGCTTGTATATCTCTGAGCTCAGTCCTATGTTTTCCAGTACTCTATTCTGATTTCAAGCAGCACATTCTCAGCAACCTGTTTGTTCCTATGTACTTACCATGATCTGTTTAGAAAAGAACAAGCACAGTAATCTTGATCCTTGTTTTCAGTCCCACTTATTCAAGAAATGGAATCCAGAATCATGATCCCACTGAAGACCTCGCCCCTCCAATAAAGCTACAGAATTTAGATGTGCCTACACAAATTTATGTGACAAGTATTTGTCATAAATTAATTTTAATTGTATATCAAGTGAAAAAGAAACACTGAAGTGGAAACTGCTGTATATAGCTTGTGAGAGACCTCTTTTCTTTAAAATTTACATAATCACAGGAAAGGAAACTATTACAGTCTGGCTGATGATATAACAGTGCTCTGTAGTCCTCTCTGAAACATCCCTCTGTTTGCTGAATATACCTTATAGTACCGAACTGCCCCTCCCCACTCTCTGGGAAAGGAGGGCCCAAATTAAAACTGGAATCATTTCCAAATGAGAATCTAACCGTGAAGAGAAAGCTAGCCATTCTTTATAAAAAGCAAATCTGTTTTATAATTACAGATGTTTAGACAAACTTCTTGTATCAGGAAGAAATACAAATTTTGTGATGTTTCTCTAGCAGTTTTTCTGAGTCTCAGACTAGGAGCAAATTATGAATGTACCCAGTACCTGAAAATGTTTTAATTCACTCTCATTTTTGACCAGTTGGCATAGTAAACAATAGGTCATTACTAAGCTGGTAGTGGTTGCCAAGGTACATGTAATCAGTAACGAATGCACTCTTTACATAGTGTGTTGTAATGTCTCCACATGAAGGAAAAAATGGCTTGAACCTGTGTATCATATGTGATTTTGAAATTAGCAGCTTGAATAGCACTAATTTTTATTTGTAATATTTTTCTATAACAAAATGAGTAGAACTAGGAAAAGAGGTTTTATTTTGTAAACAATCATTTGTGACCTCAGATATTCTCTAGTTAATACTTTAATAAGCCCACAGCAGATTCTTCCAAGAGAGGGGTGGTGCATGTTGAGATTTAAATTGGCATAAAGCTGCATACTTTGTCTAGCTGTTTTATTTAGTTTTTTTAATATAGTGTGCCAATTTTGTGACTATAATCATGTGAAAGTCCTGTTAAAATGAAAAATTGTCTGACCCCCAAATTAAAGAATTTATGTGTAAAATAAAGCATGAATAAATCTCATATGAAACGTCAAACTTTTACATGTGAATGGTTTTCTCCAAGAACATATATCAGTGAATAAAATCTTCTTAATTTCACATATTACATGTTTGCAATCTTTTTTTATGAACTTGTGCTGAGAATGACCCTGTCACTCTTGAAAAATAGCTTGTCCCAGTTCAGTGGGCATATGTGAGTCTACAGAATAAAATATTAAAGAAGCTCATCAGCCTCTCCCTCTGGCCGGTTGGTAGGATGTTGATGGGGAGTGAGAGTTTGCGTCCCACGCGTGGTGTCTTGGTGTCTGGGCTGCTGGCAGAAGAACAGGCTCTTCGAAGCCCAGGCTCTGCTCCTTGAGGAGGTACTTAACGCTCTCTGGTGTTGGGTGCCTTCATCTATACAATGAGGAGCTTGAATCCAGTGACCTTTAAGGCCCCTTCAGCTCTGAATTTTTGTAACTAGCTCTTATTGGTGCCAGGGGAAACAGCAGAAGAGAGGGTTTAGCAAGCTCTAGCATAGAGAACCTGCATTTTAGCACCAGCAATTCTACTGATGAGACGCTCAGAGCATGTTTGTAGGATGTGAATGAAAGAACTATTTATATGAAACTGCTTTCTAAACTACTGAAAGAAAAATGGTAGAATTGTTTTATTAGTAAAGGTAATTAGCTATTCAGAACTGAAAAAAAAATTGCTGGGAACAGAGGAAATTTTCACTTACAAATTCTGTGGACTTATAAATGAAATGAACCCTGCAGAAGTCGGGAATCTTCTATCATTCACTGGTGTGTTAGGGTTCTCCAGAGAAACAGAATCAATAAGATATCTAGATAGAGATACATATAAGAGATTTGTTATAAAAATTGGCCAACACGGTTATGGAAACCAAGAACTCCCACAATCAGCCATATGCAAGCGGGAGAACCAAGGAAACCAATGGTATAATTCTATCCAAGTGCAAAGGCCTGAGAATCAGGGAAGCCAGTGGTGTAACTCCCAGTCCAAAGTCAAAGGCCCAAGAACCTGGAGCTCCAGTGTCTTTAGAGCAAGAGAAGATAGATGTCCCAGCTCAAGCAGAAAGGAGGAATTCACCCTTCCTTGGCCTTTTTGTTCCATTCGGGCTCCCAACAGATTGGATGATGCCTGCCTGCTTTGGGGAGGGTGGATCTCTTTACTCAGTCTATTGAATCAAATGCTAATCTTCCAGAAACACCTTCACAGACACACAGAGAAATGTTTTACCAGCTATCTGGGCATCCCTTAGGCCAGTCCAGTTGACACATAAAATTAACCATCACAACTGGGCTCAGGGGCCTCCCCAAATTGCCTCATCGACCCAACTCCCTGTTCACAGGCCACTCCATGTCTGGCGAGCAATAGAGTGTCCAGGTGCCAGATAGAATATGGAAGAATGATGTTTTCTTTTAGAAATAGCTTCTCTTTTTATCTTGCTTTCTTAAAGGATCATTATGTTCAGAAAAGTATAGAGCAGTAAACTGACTTTCAAAAGTGGAGTTCTTTCAGAATACACCCTACTCTCAGAGAAGGAATTTCTGTCCTGATTAAGTCATTGCATTTCACAAGCCTGCCTAACTCACACTGGACTTGAGTCTTCATTCAATTCAACAAATAGTGCGCTTCTGCTCTGTGCCAAGCACCAGGCACTTGGAATAACAACATGAACAAAGTATGATCCCCTGCCCTTGTGAAGCTTACAATCCAGTGAGAGGAGACTGGCAATTAAAATATGAAAAATTGTAAGTGACATGGTGTGGTAGAAGTTGATAAATGCTATAGGAGCAGAAGATGGAACAGGGTAATAGAAATCAGGTACCTAAGGGTGGGCTGGGAGGGGCAGGACATAGTATCAAATATGCCTGGTCAGAGTCGGCCTCACTGAAAAGCTGAGCTTTACGCAAAAAATTGAAGGACGCGAGGAAGTTAGCCAGTGTTAGGGAGGAAATCCCTCCATTCTAAGGGATTGGCTACAGCACAGGCCCTAAGGCAGGGTCATGTCTGGTGTGCTCTAGAGCAGCGGAGCCCACTGGCTAGAACAGATGACAGGGAGAGCTTGATGGGAGGAGTCAGAGAGGTCACGGGGCTGGATGAAGAAGGGTGTTGGAGGCCATTGGAAGGACCTTGGCTATTACTCTCAGGTGGGATCCACTAGAAAGTTTTGAGCAGAGGAAGAGCATGATCTGACTTGCATTTTAAATGATGGCTTAGACTAGTCGTAGCAGTGGGAAGTAGGGAGAATGGTCAGATTCTAAATGTATTTTGACAGCAGAGCCAACACAATTTCCTGAATGATTAACTGAAGTGTACAGGAAAGAGAAAAATCAAAAGTGACTTAAGTTTTCAGCCTCAGCAACTGGAAGGATAAGGAAGGCTGTAGATGGAACAGATTTGGGGGAATGGAGATCAGGAATGCTGTTTTGCTCAAACTGAGTTAGAGATGTCTATGCAGATATCCAGGTGGAGATGTCAGGTAGGTAGTTGGGTATATAAGTCTGAACTTCAGGAGAGCTGTCTGGCCTGGAGATAACACATTTATGAATTATCTGCATATAGAATTTAAAGTCATATGAGGAGTGAGTGTAGATAAAGAGGAACCAGGAAGGGAGAGTGAGAAACCACTAGGGAAATAGGAAGAAGCTCCAGGAAGTGGGATGTCATGAAAGCCAAGTGAGGAATGTCCATTAAGGATGAGACCATGGGGCCGGCCCGGTGGCGCAGCGGTTAAGTTCACACGTTCCGCTTCTCGGCAGCCAGGGGTTTGCTGGTTCAGATCCCGGGTGCAGACATGGCACCACTTGGCAGCCATGCTGTGGTAGGCGTCCCACATATAAAGCAGAGGAAGATGGGCATGGATGTTAGCTCAGAGCCAGGCTTCCTCAGCAAAAAGAGGTGGACTGGCAGTAGTTAGCTGAGGGCTAATCTTCCTCAAAAAAACAAACAAAAAAAAGGATGAGACCACCTGTGTCAAATGCTGCTGCGAGCTTGGGTTAGATGAGGTCTGAAAACTGATCCTTAATTTAGCAACATGGTGGTCACTTAGTGACTTTTGACAAGAACATTCTATTATTAAGCTAATTTACCAAATTATTACTTTCTTGTAGCAATTCCTGCCCAATTTGTCAAATCCTCTTATTAAACCCCCATAAAACAAACTGTATTATTTTTTCCCCACTATTAATTTTCACTGGCAATATTCAAAACCTCCAAACTCATTTTCCATTCATTGGGTATAAATCTGGTGAATATTACTTATACAAGCCAACTCATTTTTAATTATCATTCCTGTGATATCACACCCTTTTTTTTTTTTTTTTGAGGAAGATTAGCCCTGAGCTAACTCCTGCCGATCCTCCTCTTTTTGCTGAGGAGGACTGGCCCTGAGCTAACATCGTGCCTATCCTCCTCCACTTTATATGTGGGATGCCTACCACAGCATGGCTTTTGCCGAGCAGTTCCATGTCCGCACCCAGGATCCGAACCAGCGAACCCCAGGCCACCGAAGCGAAACGTGTGCACTTAACCACAGCGCCACCGGGCCAGCCCCCTCCTATTTTTTAAAAGCCCTCTTGGACTCACACTTTGCTCTCCTCCAAACCAGCACTTGATAGAACGTGCTTCTTTTCCCTTATTTTCACACCTGCCTGTGAAAGATCCTTTTCTTCAGTTCTACATTATACTTCTTTATTTCTTATTACATTTATACTTTCAGTTTCTGGCTGGGACATAGTAGATGTTCAATAATGTGCTTGATGAATCTATAGAGAGAAGGAGGAAGTAAAAGAAGGAGAAAGAGAGAAAAGGAAGGAAGAGAGAAAGTATGGCGAATGTCACTTCTAATTAGATGATACATTTTGAAAGCAGGGCAGGTCTTTATTCATACTATTTTGGATGCAAATTCTAGAAATGATTTTAAAATTATTTTGATATGCCTGGATAAGCTCAGTAAAAACAATTCAAAAGGAGGACAGTAAACATAGAAATATGTTCAGAGTTGGAAAATGTGATCAGCAAAGTACTGAATAGTCCTCTATTAACTAACACTAAAATTGGTACTTTTTCCAGAGTTCAGTGACACTAAAAAAATCACTAGAATTTTTTGTAAAACAGGCCTTCCATGTTAGGGAGTAAAATTTCATCTACAGTCTTAATATATGTTGACACTGTGATCACATATAAGTATTAGCTTAGGGTGGGTTCTCCTAACCCCAATAAATTGTTAATTCTTTAGTAACAGAGAGCTGGGCCTGGGTCCCAGCACTGAATGTAACCTCATAGTAGTCATTAACTTTTTTGTTTCCCATCTATTAAAGAGAGGACAGCGATACCTATACTGAGGACCTCAGGGTTGTGAGAATCACATGAGGAGACATGTGAAAACACCCTGGAAAACGTGTAAAGACGTAGTGTGACTTGTGGTCAGATCACTCCCCAAATTTTCTCAACATGATCATAAAGATTCTGAGGATCACAGAGGCAAAAGCCCTCATCCTTGTGCCATCACTTACTGAGGCCAACCACCTGAATCTCTGGAATCTCCTGCTACACTCCTGCCCCAGGTCTGGAATGCCGTCCCCTGCTCTTGGGAAGAGCAGCAAGTGGGCCTCCCCAGGTGTCCTGGAGAAACACTTGTGTTCAGCAGGAGAGAGAGAGAGAAGAACCATTAGAGCAGCAGTCAAACCAGAGGAGAAGGGGGTGGGAGTAGGGTATGAAGGCCGGACGGTTGTCCTGTTTGTTTTTTCAGGCATATAAAAGCTTTGAGGGAGAGGTTGGAGAGGCAAAATGGCAGGGTGAGCTGACCCGGGACTCTCCCCTCCAAAGTACAATAAAGGACTGAAAAAAAAAAAAACACCTGAATTTCAGCTAATGAACCTAATGCCAGGACTCAGAGACCTACAGTATCAAAAGACAGAAGACGAGCCCCTACTGCCCGCCTCAGAGGAGGTGGATCCGGGTAAGAGAGAACATCGCTCCATCCCCTAGAAACTGGGATCGCCGCCTGGGTCCGGGAAGGAGCAGGGGAGGAGCTGCGCGACCAGGGGATCATCCAGGACTCCTGCCGCCGGTACAGTGGAAACCTGCTGACCGGGG